TCTTAGAATGAGCTAACATAACTTTTTGATAACTTTATAAAGATATGTAAAGGGTATTTGTAAACCAATCGTTAAGTACAATGACTTAACTTCTTATTGTTGTCAGGTGTCTCTGAGTGGGCTCCGACTCACAGTGACTCTATGCACAAAGAAAGAAACACTACCTGGTCCTGCTCCATCCTCACAACTGTTGCTACACTTGTGTTGCCCGTTGCTGCTGACACTATGCCAATCCATCTTCTTCTTTTTCACTGACACTCCACTTTACCCAGCACACAATGTCCTTCAGGGACTGGTCCCTCCTGATAAGAAGTTTGAAGTATGAGAAATGAAGCCTTGCCCTCTAAGGCACATTCTAGCTGCATGATTTCCAACACAAATTAGTTCTTCTGGCCGTCTATGGAACTTTAAATATTCGTCTCCAATGCTAGAACTCAAATGCATCAATTCTTCTCCAGTTTTCCTTATTCACTGCCCAACTTTCACATGCAGATGGAAAATGCCATGGCTTGGGTCAAGCGCACCTTAGTCCTCAAACTATTATCTTGGTTCTTGAACACTTCAGAGTTCTTGAGCAGCAGATTTGCCTACTACAGTATGTCGTTTGATTTCTTGACTGCTGCTTTGGTAAGTTTTAATTGTAGATCCAACCAAAAGGAAGTATTTGACAACATCATTTTTTTTTCTCCATTTATCATATTTATTGTTCCAGTTGTAAGCATTTTTGTTTTCTTTACACTGATGTGTGGTCTTTGATCTTCATCATTAAGTATTTTAAGTTCTTTTCACTTCCATCAAGCAATGTTATATAATTTGCTTATTTGCAAGTTGTTAATGAGTCTTCCTTCAGTTTGATGCCACATTCTTCTTCATATAATCTAGCTTCTTATTTGTACAGCATACAGACTGAATAAGTATGGTGAAAGAATACAGCCCTGGTACATACCTTTCCTGACTTTAAACCATTCAGTATCTGCTTGTTCTGTTTGAACAATAGCTTCTTGGTGTATGTACAGTGTCTTAGTGAGCATAATCAAGCATTCTGGACTACCCATTCTTTGCAATTCTATGCACAGTTATCATGAACCACACAGTCTAAAGTCTTTGCGTAGTCAATAAAGCACAAGTAAACATCTTTCTGTTATTCACTACTTTTAAACAAGATCCATCTGACATCAGCAATGATATCCATAGTTCCATAACCTCTCCTGAATCTTGCTTTCAATTTCAGGCAATTCCGTGTTGATGTACTATTGCAGCCATGTTTGATTTTCAGTACATGAATTTTCAGTACAATTTTACTTGCATTTGATTTTAATGATATTGGTCAATGATTTCCGTATTCCACTGGGTCACCTCTGTTTGGAATGGGCACAAATAAGGATCTCCTAACAGCTGGTTGACCAGGTAGCTGACTTCCACATTTCTTTCGGATAAGTAAGCATCTTCACAGTGCTAAATCAGTTTGTAGCAAAAACTTCAATGTGTATATCACCAATTCTTGGGAATACTCAAAAAATTGCTGATGGGATGTATTTATTTTAAAACTGAGCTGTAGTTTTGCATACACTCAAAAGATAAGAGAAAGGCCACATTTTCTAATTGTTCTTTAATGAAGCATACAGAGCAATGGATGCAGTGATCTGAAACAATCTAAAATTTAAAAAAAAGTGTAATAATGGATGGGAAAACAAAGTTTTGACTCAAATATCTTTCGTTGCTGTTACTAAGTACAGGTGAGTAGGTGAGTAGACACCCTCCCTGTATGAGGTTTCCGAAGATTGGCTGATGGGTTTAAACCACCAACCTTGAGAAAGTTATTATAGTGCTTATTCTATAGCACCATACAGGATCCCCAAATTCCTTTAAACCCTATTTTTTAAGAGTATAGTCATTTAAATTATTTTAAAAATTATTTCCAATCGTTAAGAAGTCAACATGAAATTTCAGAAACTATTTATTTACATACTATCTATATGTAAAAATTGGAGTCCTGAGGTAGCATAAGGAACTCCTGGTTTGGTGTTGTAGGATCAGCACTGGCCTGTGAACCACAAGGTTGGAAATTTAAAGCCACCAGCTGCTCTTGGGAAACCCTATATAGGGTTGCTATGAGTTAGAACTGACTGCACAGCAACTTAACAACAATATGACATAAACAGTTGAGAACTTGAATACAACCGGAAAGACTAGTTTGAATCCACTCAGAGATCTGCTTCTGAAAGGTCACAACTTTAAAAATTCAATGGAGACAGGTCACCATGAATTGAAATCTACTTGATGGAAACTAACAAAACCAATATATCTATAGAAATAGTACATGAATTTGGACACTGTGTTTATGGTTATTAATGGACTTCAGGATATACTTTTATAAATTCAAGTTATTTTGGATTCATAATTATTGATTTTAAACAAACGTTTCATGTAATCCAAATTTAATTGATCTGGTGCTAAAGTCTCCGAGAAACAATTATAGGCTCATTCTTAGAAAATTAGGACAAATTTACATAAGAGTTTCAAAAGTGTTATTTGGTAAAAAGTGGAATTCACACATGGTAAAATAAGTATATGTACTTAAGTAATTATCTAAAAAGAGGAGCAGAATGTGGAACAGATCATCAATTGCTTAGATGTAAGTTCAGGCTAAAGCTGAAGAAAATTTAAAAAAAGTCCACAAAAGCCTAAATATGACTTTGAACACACCCCATCTGAATTTAGAGATTATCTGAAGATAATGAATTACACACTAAAGAGTTTTGGGATGACATCAAGAACATCATATATGAAGAAAGTAAGAGGCCATTAAGATGACAAGAAGGAAGGAAAAGACCAAAAAGGATTCTGAAACTTGCTCTCCAGCACAGAGAAGCAAAAGCAAATGGAAGAAATGAGGAGGTAAACGGGCTAAATAGAAAATTTCAGAGGGCATCAGCTTGAGAAGACAATATATCAAATACTGTATCAAAATGTGCATACACCTGGAGTTAGAAAACCAAAGGGGAAGAACAAGCTCAGCATTTCTCAAGCTGAAGAAACTGAAGAAAAATTCAAGCCTTGACATGCAATATTAAAGGATTCTATGGGCAAAATATTGAATGATGCAGAAAGCATCAAAAGAAGATAGAAGGAAGAGACAGAGTTGCTGTACCAAAAAGAAATGGTTGATGCTCAACTATTTCAAGAGCCAATGATAGCATATGATCAAGAGCCAATGATACTGAAGGTGCATTGAAGGCACTGGCAAATAACAAGGCATCAGGAATTGATGAAATATAAATTGAAATCTTTCAACAAACGGATGCATTACTAAAAGAACTTGGTGCCAAAAAATTTGGAAGACAACCGCTTGGTCAAATGACTGAAAGAGATCCATATTTGTAGATCCACCATTACAAAGAAAGGTGACCCAGCGGATTGCAGAAATCATTGAGCAGTATCATTAATATCACATGCAAGTAAAATTTTGCTAAAGATAGTTTTAAAATGACTGCAACCACACATTGGCAGAGAACTTCCAGAGGTTCACACCAGATTCAGAAGAGGATATAGAATGAGGGATATCAGAATGCTGACATTAAATGATCTTGGCTGAAGAAGAGAATACCAGAAAGATGTTTTTCTGTGCTTTACTGATTATGCAAAGACTTTCGATTATGTGGATCATGACAAACTACAGACAATATTGTGGAGAATGAGTATTCCAGAACACTTACTTGTGCTCATGAAGACCAAGAGACAGTCGTTTGAACAGAACAAGGAAACACCGCATGGCTTAAAATAAGGAAAGGAAGCAGCAGTCAAGAAATCAAACGACATATATATAGGCAAATCTGTTGTACAAGATCCCTTTAAAGTGTCCAAGATCAAAGTAACGTGTGCCTGACCCAAGCCATGGTATCAAATAACCTCATATGCATGTAAAAAGTTGAACAGTGAATAGGGAAAACCATAAAAGAATGGATTTATTTGATTTATGGTATGGAGGAAAATATTAAAAGTACCATGACAAATCTGTGTTGGAATAAGTACAGCCAGAATGCTCCTTGGAAGCCAGGATGGCCAGACTTCTTCTTTCATACTTCTTACATATTGTCAGAAGGAACCAGTCCCTGGAGAAGGACATTAAGTTTGGTAAAGTGGAAGGTTGCAGAAAAAGAGGAAGAGCACCACCGAGATGGATTGGCACAGTGGCAGCAGCAATGGACTCAAGTGTAGCAACTACTGTAAGGTTGGCGCAGGTCCGGGCAGTATATCTGTTCTGTTGTGCATAGGGTCACTAAGAGTTGGTACTGGCTTGATGGCACCTAACAACAACAATGTGAGTTTTAAAAAACGTCAACCTTCAAGAGATCCCGACTGTATGTAAATACGGAGTCTAAATCTTTCTGATTGTTTTACTTGGTAATTTCTCTGTAGTTAACTCTCTTCCATGTCTTCTTTTTTGACGTCCTGGTTTCAGCTTAAATGGTAATTTTTTAGAATCTTGTATAATCATGAACAGAAGAATGGAATTCATACCTCTAGGTCTCAATTTTAGCTATTAATTTCTACTTCACTAGATTTCAAAACAAAGGAAAGTAATCAGATTCATTTAAAGTCATCCTACAGTGATACCACATTCTGGTATGAAAACACATTGGAATCTTTAAATAGAAAACATGGATTTTGATGTTTTTAAATCAATATTTACATGTGCCCCCTCTTAACTTTTGAGATGAAATGCAAATAATAGAAATATAAACTGTTCTGTTTAGTTATGCAATATAATTTACTCTTTTCTAAGATAGAAAAAATGTATGTTTTTCTCCAATAACTGCATGCAGTGGTTCAAATCCTCCAGCTGCTCCTTGAAAACTGACTCGACAGCACTTACTAACAAAAACATACATGCATTAAGAAAGTTATAAATACCATTCACGTTACGACTGTAAAAGTTATTGTTCAGTGGTACCTAGATGTATACATTTCTCTTTTCTTCTTTCTAAAGGTTGACTCACCTTGCATTTTGGACACTTCTGGGCATTCCTCTGTCCATGCTCAATTTCGCTTGCCCAGTGACGTAGTAATTTGTCTCCTTTTTTGTACTCCTTGCAGTTAACTCCTTCATGCCAAGGAGAGTGGCACTTAAAACACCAGACGAATTGGCAAGTGGGGCACTGGATCTGTGTGAGGAAAAGTAAAATTAAGTACCAACAGTTAGTAAGCTTCTGAGAGGATGAGAAGGGTGGTGTTTGAGAAATTAGCTAACAGGTCATAATCTGACCACAGTTACACTATCTCTTCCTCTATAAGACCCAAAACAATACTAAGATAGACTACATATTTACTATCCCATTATTAAAGAAGACAGAACTGCTTTGGTAAGACTACACTAGAAGTGAACACATGGGGCATTCCAGAAATTAGAAAACCAAGAAATTTTGGCTTTTAAAAATCTCCAATTGATGCAGAATAACACCTGAACACTCTTTAAGTCCTAAATCCATACATCAGGCCACCCTTAATGAATTCCCAAGCATTACCATCACCCCTCCCTTTTTTTTTTTTACCAATAACTTAATTCATCTATATAAAATTAAAGCCTCACAGAGGTTTCACCATATGAAAATCACACAAACATAAAAGTGCCCTGTCAACGCTGACAACGAGAGACCAGCTAAACTGAAACCGACTTTCTCTCATAATTTCCTTTATGTTGAGTGACAGTATAATCTTACTTTTCTCACAAAGTATTTCCGGTCTTCACTCTCTAAAAGCATCTACAGAAGTTGACTCTCCCTCCCAGAGTTGCTGAATATTCATGAACACAATGTTTCTTTTTTTTTTTTTAAAAGCACTCATAATTGACTATTATCTGTTTTTCCACATATTATATAACTATACCACAAATGAATTTATTAAACTTACTTCTTCGGAAAACCATTAAAAAAAAAAATCACTGAGGTCCAAATACATAGATGAACTGAGTGGTTATTATAATCACAGCTTGTTTTGTTTGTAACTCAAAACACTGCATTTTCCACTTATATCAAGAATAATGCTCTTCTTACACAAAAATAAGATAACAAAAGTACTTTTGCTGTTATAACTTTGTATCAAAACAAATAGTATTTTGTCACATAGATTTAAAAATTCTTTATATGTATTGAAGTTCTATTAAATAATGTCTGGACTGAATACATTATATGCATTCTTTATTTTATTCTCAAAATAGTGCTGCAAAATAGGTATGGACCTCACAACAGATGAGGAATTTAAGGTTGAAATGGGCTAAATAAGTTGTTGAAGTTCACATAGCAAGTTCACATCAAGGTGGGATTTAGGCTTCAAGGTGGCTTCAAGGCCAGTATTCTTTGCACAGAACCAAAATCATGCCACAAATAGCATTCCTTCTTTAGCAATTAAAAAATATTTACATGCAGAAGTCAAAGTGGCCAAGGAATTAAGTTAATCAAAAGGTCAAAAATCTATGCGGTTGTCAACATAAGGTGAACTTTGAATGCTCACACATAAATGGAAGACCTCCTTGCTTTACAAAAAAAAAAAAAAAAAAAAGTTTAACCAAAAAAACAGAAAGAAGAAAAGAGAAATGGATATTAATAATCAAACATTTACCTTAGTTTTTCTTGTCCTTTCTGATCACTGACATTAAGATAAGTCATTTTTAAAGTAAGAAGAATGAGTTGAAGTGGAAGAGCTCCAGAAAGTGAAACAATGTTGGGAGTTCTAATTCATAGTGACCCTGTATGGGGTTTCTGAAGTGCTGCTAGTAGGTCTGAACCACCAAGCTTGTATAAAAGGTTTATTCCTCATGCCATGAAACAGATGTAAACAAAGACAATGTTCTACATCTTTCTTTTGTGAGTAACAATTGGGATCTTAAAAGCTCCTAAGTGACCATAAGGTGTAACTACTGCTCTCTCCATGTGCAGAAGAAAGAAGAGTGATGGGAATTGAAGATGCTTTGACTAATGGGACATGTGAATATCAGTCTTCATGACTCTGAGACCAAAAGAACTAGACAGTGCCCAGCTACCACTACCAATTGTTCTGAAAGGGAACATATTAGAAGGTTCCACACAGAGTGGGAAAAAATATGGACCCAAAATTTAAAATTATAAAGAAGCCCAGACTTACTAGTCAGAAAGAGACTGGAGGTACTCAAGATTATGACCCTTAGCCATGGAACAAAATCATCCTCATGGCCCAATTTTCTGCCAGGCAATAAGACAGGTAAATAAGCGGGACAACAACACTAGTAGGGTGTGTTCTCTATGGAATGGCCAACCACTCAAGATTAAAATGGCAACATTTACCTAAGGACACAGTTCAGAAGGGTTGGGAAGGAGGGTGGAATGGAAATAGAAACCAATTGGAAGAAGTAGACATTTGTTATTACACATGGCGGACATTGCAATGCACGACTTGCTGAAAGTAAACTTTCACTCAATTCACAATAAAAACTTTCACACATACACACACAAGATGATAACTATTATATGGAAGCATCTTTTTTAATTAATGGGGGAAGAAATTTGCAATTTTGTCCTAAAGATATAAATAATTTAGTTCTATTAGATATTATTCATAATTCTAAATCACTGGAAAACAGAATCATTAATTTTTTTAAAAAGATCTCTTTAGTTTTAAATCCATCAGTCTAATACATTATACTTATGAAATGAATGGAGTCTAATACATTATACTTACGAAATGAATGAATGAATTAGTATAATCTAATACATTATACTTATGAAATGAAATCCATCAGTCTAATACATTATACTTATGAAATGAAATGAATGGAGAATACATATAAAAGTGTTTTGAAATGAGATTCAAGCTATAAATGTCAGAAATTAAAGGTCCAAGACTTTTTGTGATCAAGTGCTGAACTATGGATCTCTAATGAAAACAATTAGAAATATCTGATTCTCTTAAGGTATCAGAATTGTAAATATTTTGACATTTAGTGTGACATCAGGGACTCTGGCGTTACATTCTCTAAATCAATAGCACAGACTTGCTGTATATCCTACTTGCCAGTCCTCATCAACAACACAGACTTAGGGGCAAACTGCCCAAGGAGTTGCCAAGCAAGCTCTCACATGAAGATGAATCACTTAAATTCATACCTGACTACGTACTATCTCTCACTGAAAACATTAATATAACTATTACTGTACTTTGGACTAGGATAATTAAAGGACTAATACCCAGCAACCTTGGAATTTAGAGATTGCACCTGGATTGTTTGAATTCCGACTTTTTGATCTGATGACGAACAGTGGATGGTCACTGGAGTAGGGAACTCAAACATTCACTTCTGGTGTAAGAAGAGGAGATCTCATGCTACCAGATCCAGCGTTCTGATTCACTGTGAGGCCTCCCTGGGCAGATGCTGAGACTGCTTTTCTGTACCCCACCTACTGCCTACGGAACCTTACAATAAATCTCACTAACTGTGGAACCTGAGAAAGAGCATGCCTCCATTGCTTGTAATTGGAAAAGGTCCAATGAACACGATCTGACTTTTGAAATCTTACCCACATGAAACATTACTTGCTTAAAGATGTCTACACCATTCCTTCTAAGCATATTTAGTGTCTTTCTTATGGAACTTAAATTAGGCACATAGATGTTTAGTTCTTTCTGGCATACAAGGTCACTAGGGCAAAGGCTTTGTCTCATATAGCCTGTATTTCCTGAGCGGAACCACACAGAACTTCTGGCACACGGTAAGCACCCAGTAAATACTTGGAAAATAAATTATGTTATACACAGCAGATAATCACACATTGGTTAGGAGTAAATGAATTCAAAGAAAAGAAACAACATTTCTAATTTATGACCAGTAGCTGAAATGCTATCACTGCTTCTTACATTACCAGATGATGTTTACTAAATATTTTATCCCTGCTTTTTTACTGAGCATCATGATTAATGTGCAAACGTTTCTACATGAAGCAGAGCTGTAAGTGTTTTGAGAATAAAGTTATCAGAGTTAGAAATCTTGATGAACTTTCCCTAGAACTCAGGAAAGATAAAAGAACTTTACATTTACACTTTTGACTTTAGAATTCCTTTAGTTTTTCCAGACATCTGGGTTATACTGACACTAAGATGACAAATTAAGCCAACCCACTTGACCTAAGCAGATGGTATTTGTCCCAAATCATTCATCAAAACAAATGGGGAAAATGCCTACAAAATTAAAACAGAATTCAAAACCCCAAACAATCATTTTCTTACCTAAATTCTACATACTTCTATATATAGTGTCATTTGAAATAAATGACCAAATAGCTAACTCAAGAAATTAGATAACCATGCTTATATGTAGCATTGCAAATACAAAAGCTCAGTATTGGAAGAATTTGCTTAATTAGAACTTTAGAGGAAGACAGATTATTCAATAATGAAACACGTTCATCAGTACATCTGCTCAGTCAATATATATCTATTGAGCACCTTTTAACAAGTACGTATTAACTTCAACGATTTTATATATACAAAAAAGAATGAAAATACTTGTTCTTAATGAATTTATCAGCTTCTAGGAAAAGACAGATATAAAATCAAAAGAGCTACAAAACCCTGTAAAAGATGGCAGAGTAGAAACTTGGCAAAGTAGAAGCTACAGGAAAGTCTGGGAAAGAGCTATTCAGAGTGTGATCTTGAAAGATGAGAAAAACACTGGGAAGGCACGAGTGAGCCAGGTGACACTTCAGGAAGAGAGCCCAGCCAGAGCAACACAAAGAGACCCGAGTGACCTAGTTTACTGGGGAAATAGCATGTGGTCTTGTTGTTAGGTGCCATTGATTCAGCTCTGATTCATAGCGACCCTATAAACAACAGAACGAAACACTGCCCAGTCCTGTGCCATCCTCACGATTGTTGTTTTGCTTGAGCCCACTGCTGCTGCCACTGTGCCAATCCATCTCCCTGGGGTGGTGGTGGTGGGGTGTCTTTCATTTTTTTCACTGACCTTAACTTTACAAAGCATGATATCCTGGTCCCTCCTGATACCATGTCCCAAGTATGAGAGACAACACTGACCTTAACTTTACAAAGCATGATATCCTGGTCCCTCCTGATACCATGTCCCAAGCATGAGAGACAAAGTCTTGCCATCTTTGTTTCCAAGGAGCACCCTGGCTAT